TTCTACGCAACAACTTTGTGGGGCCCGTGTTACTACCCCATTATATTGATGGGACCATTGAGACTCAGTATATTAAGTGCCTGAGACAAACCAACGCTATTGGAGGCCATGTCCCAGGTTTGGTCCACTTTGTCACGTAGCAAAATCTTAGTCATCCTTCCAAGTGGGGTGAAATGTGGGACTTGGAGTCACCGAGATCTGAGCTCAAATCCTGAGTGGGCTGCTAACCATCCACATGCTACTAGGTCGGTTATCTGATCCTCAAGAAATCTCACGTGAGCACTCCACACCCCTCCGTCCCCACAAAATACCCTGGCATGTGTCCCTGCACCCTGGGCATGTCTTTGGCCTGGCTACACTTAGAGTTGTTGTGGGGTTTGTGTGTGTGTGTGCTGTGTGTGTGTGTGTTGTTGTTGTTTTTTTTGTTAATCCTCACCCGAGGATATTTTCCCATTGATTTTTAGAGAGAGTGGAAAGGAGGGGAAGAGATAGAGAGAAACATCAATGTGAGAGAGACACATCGATTGGTTGCCTCCTGCATGCATCCTGGTCAGGCCCAGGGTTCGAGCCTGCAACCAAGGTACATGCCCTTGACTGAAATCGAACCCAGCACCCTTCAGTCCACAGGTCGATGCTCTATCCACTGAGCCAAACCAGCTAGGGCTTAACTCACAGTTTTAATTTGTTTGGAGGTTTTAACCTTTGAGATTTAATTTTTATGAGCAAACATCCAACTGTTCAAAAATAACATTCGGTTATGTATTGAATGAATCATCCTTACTGAAAAGACTAAGTTTGTGGAAAATTGGGACTATTCTGGAAAATAAAGGACGGATCTACCTGGATTGCAGGTTCAATCCCCCATCGAGGCTGTTTCTCTCACATCAATGTTTCTCTCCCTTCCTCTCTCTAAGCATGTCCTGGGGTGAATAACACAACCAACACCCTTCCATGTTCCACTCAGATTAACAAATGGTTATGATCCTGCTATATTTGAACTAGATTTTTTTAACTATGTAGTTTTTATTTATTTCAGAGAGGAAAAGAGAGGGAGAAAGAGATAGAAACATCAGTGATGAGAGAGAAACATCGATCAGATGCCCCCTGCATGCTCCCTACTGGGGATCAAGCCCGCAACCCAGGCATGTGCCCTGACCGGGAATTGAACTGTGGCCTCCTGGTTCATAGGTCGATGCTCAACCACTGAGCCACGCTGGTCGGGCTGAACTAGATTGTTTAAGAATCAAAAAGTTACAGATACATTTGAAGCCCTTTAATCTCATTCCAGATCATGTTTCCTTCCCTTCCTCCCCAGAAGCGACCACTCTCCTGAGGCTGGCACAACCAGGTATTATGCGTGTTTGTTTCCCATGAGACTGAGTTCTTTGAAAGTGGGAACAATCTATACTAATAAAAGGGTAATATGCTAGTTAGACCAAACGTCTTCTGGACAATGCCACGGTGGCGGGGCCCGAGGCAGAGGCGGTTAGGGGCAATCAGGCTGACAGGCAGAGGTGGTTAGGGGCGATCAGGCTGACAGGCAGAGGTGGTTAGGGGCAATCAGTCCGACAGGCAGAGGCAGTTAGGGGCAATCAGGCAGGGATGGATGGTGAACGGACAGGTAGAAGCCTAGGCGCCTACAGTGAGATGATGGCCTGGGAGGGCACGAACAGATCTAGGCCCCCACAGGTGCATGCTCTCTTACAGGTGTGGGCGGCACCCCCTTCCCCTCGCTGGCCCCACCCATCACAATGCAGGTGGATGGGAAGCAGCAGGTGCTGGTGGTCTGCCTGGTCCTCGATGCCGCGCCCCCTGGCCTTGAGAGCCCCATCTGGTTCTCAGCTGGCAACGGCAGCGCACTGGACGCCTTCACCTACGGCCCTTCCCCAGCTGCAGATGGCACCTGGACTAGCGTGGCCCAGCTCTCCCTGCCCTCGGAGGAGCTGGCATCCTGGGAAACCTTGGTCTGTCACACCGGGCCTGGGGCTGGGGATCACAGCCAGAGCACACAGCCCCTGCGGCTGTCAGGTGGGGACAGAGCCTGGGGTCTTGGGAACGCCCCCTGCCCCTTTCACTCGCCCTGGAACCAGGATTTGGTGGGAAGGAAGGCAGGCCCAGACCATGGGGGCATGAAGGGTGTCCAAGTGATGACCAACTAGGTGAAGGGGTGCCTGGGCTCAGAGCAGGGCCACCTGAGGACCCTGAGTCCTGGCATTTGCAACTGTAATATCTCACTCCACTCTAGGCTCTATGCACATCTTCCACGAGGTAATAATGCCTCCTCCCTCCTAGGATTGAGATATGTATTAAGGTATATATATTAGCCCTACCACCTAGGGCTAATATCTCTCTATATACCCAGGATTAATATCTATATATCACTCTATATATAACGCCCTACCTATTAGAACCAAACAATAAGTAAATAATTAATTGCTACCACTTATTCAGTGCTTACTCTTGCCAGGTACTATTTGTTGTAAACACTTTACATTTATGAAGTCATATAATTTTCCTCATTTTTTCAGGCACAGAGAAGTTAAGTAATACGTCCAAAGTCATCTATTATTATTACTTTATTCTTTAAAAAATATATTTTAATTGATTTCAGAGAGGAAGGGAAAGGGAGAGAGATACAGAAACATCAATGCTGAGAGAGAATCATTGATTAGCTGCCTCGTGCACACCCCACACTGGGGATGGAACCCACAACTCGGGCATGTGCCCTGACGGAGAATCGAACTGTGACCTCCTGGTTCATAGGTCAACGCTGGACCACTGAGCCATGCGGGCCGGGCTGTTATTACTTTATTACTAACCAGATGACTTCCTCTTTTTGGATTATGTTGGCTTTAACATAATATTTGTTGAACAAATTCTCTGCCTTCCAAAGGCTGCTGAGAAAACCGATTCCTTGTCCGGAAGTACTGAGGCAGCTCCCCTCCCAGTGACACAGAACAGGGCCCCCCTTCCCCCCCCGCCCCTGCCAGGGAGATCCAGGCCCCTTCGAGGATGTGCAGCGCAAATGGGCTCAGGTTCCCACTGCCGGTTCCTTTGTCCATTTATCCAACATGCCATGAGCAGGGCCCTGTGTCAGGGCCGGGGCACAGTCCTGGGGCGGAGGGCACGGTACTGGGGTGCAGGGAACGGCCCCTCCCAAGTCTCACTCCCTTCTCCTTGGCTGGCAGGAGTGACTTCCTCAGCGAGGACCTGCCTCTGGGAACCTCTTGGGGGTGAGTACTGGGGGCCAGGCCCTGAGGTGCTGCTGGGCTCTGGCCTGATGGGTCCTACTGGGGGTTGGGAGGTGTTCCCTGAGGAGGCGGTCTGGCTGGGTTGGTGCACTGGCCAGCCTGGGCCTCTGTCCACCGGTGGGTAAGATCTCTGACCCCAGCCCAGTGCCTGGACACCAGTTGAGAAGCACAGGTGAGCGCTAGCAGAAGGGCCGTGAACTTCCCCGGGGCAGCCCGGTGAGCGGTCAGCCTCAGAGCCTCGGGAGACCCCTGGGAGTCTGGGGAGAGGTCACTTCCACCACCCGCTGGCCATGGTCACCAGTCCGGTCTCTTCCTGGCCGAATGAGACTTCTGAGCTGGCTCCTCTCTGCAGCGATGCTGGCTCCTGCCTGGCCTGCATCCCCCTGGCTTGGGGGGAATCTAATAAAATGAAGGTTAGGCAGGTATTTGTTAGGACCAGGAAGGGTTGAGGGTAGACCCCAGGAAGGACTCCCCCTGAATTTGGGGGAAGACAGGGAGGAGGAATGGCCAGGGCAGAGGACAAGGCCCCTCCTCCCGGGCGGCCATTCGCGGGGGTGGGTGCGCCAGGAGCCCCGGGCCCAGTGCAATGGCCGCCGCGAGAGGCCGAGGGCTCCGACCTCTGCCCCGCCCTCCGGGTCCCGACCCCGGCGGGAGCCCAGTCCGGGAGGAGGGGATGCTCTCTGCCCGCCCAGCGCCCAGCGCTCAGGACCCGCCTTCAGTATGCAGACCTCCCGCCTCGGAGGACACTGCGACCTGCCTCCTCCTGGACCCAAGCTTCCTGGGGGCGGGGGTGGGGGGGGTGCGCTCCCTCCTTCCACTGAGGCCAATTGGAGGGAAAGGCTGCGTCTCCCCGATCTGGACATTTGAGATGCAGAACCCCTAGGACCATTAAAGGAGAACTTAAATGACACAAGCCAATGGGAAGTGTTTTCATTCATGTCTTCTCTGGGAGGAGGCAATTTGGCAGGTTTAGGGGAGGCAGAAATCTGGGAGGGCTTCCCAGAGGAGGAGGGCTTTCTGAGGGCAAGACTGTGGGAATTGCTGCCTGGGGCTGGGGGTTGGGGAGGACCCTGTCCCACCTGTCTCCTTACTCCGCAGCCAAGCATGCGGCAAGGCCCCTTCTGGCTCCTCACCCTGGCCCACGCTCTGTGAGAGGTCAGGTGTGCAGCCCAGGAGCCCAGGAATGTGGGTGCAGGGCCTGATGTGAAGTCTTGTACAGACACGACTGAGGGGAGCAGGGCCAGGATCCCAGAGCAAGGGGAGTGTGTTCAATGCCAAGAACATTGATGGTCATTCCAAGCTTACACTTATTAATCAAGTAAGGGTCATTATTCATTTCACAAACATTCGTTGAACATCAACTCCGCCAGGCACTAAAGCGGCTTTTGTTTTGTTTCCTAAAAAGGGTTCTTGCACTGATAGAATATGAGGCTCCACGATGGGGTGTAACCAGCGTGTGCCCTGTTCCTTCAGCACTGCCCCTCCCAGAGGTTCCTCGCAGTGAATCAGCCCAAGAACTCTGGGTGCTGTCACGTGGATGTCCCCCGGGCCGCACAGAGCAGTCTATGGGGTCAATGGTGCTATTGGAGCATCCATCTTATATAAAAACTGCTGTTTGAAATGTTAACCCTGCTATTGTGGCTCCTGTAAATGCCTGCTGGCCTAAATAATACGGAAAATGAGACTACTCCCATTCCAGAGAGGCCATAAGCTTTCCCCAGACAAAGTTATCAGCGCTGGCACCAGGCCAGGCCTCTGGTTGAGGTCTCAAAGCCCCAGCACAAAGGGCTCTTTAACTACGAACTTGCAAAGGGGACCGGAAGACGCCATATTTGGGAGACAAAGAAGGTAAAAAAGATATAAATAGGGAAACTTCCTCCATGTTGGGGCCCAGAATGTGAAATACAGTTTTCTCGCGGCCCGGTGTAATAATAATAATAATAAAGTGTAACTCCATCTCTCTAAGCGTTGCTTGGTTCTTCTCCGGTCTTCTGTGACATTAATGGTTCCCTGAAACACCGGGAAATCAACCACGCTCGGCCTTTTTGGCCTCCAGTGAGTGTACGGGTTTGGAGCCCGGGGGCGCTGGATAGGCCTCCGGGAGGCACCGCTCTGCTGATTTAGCAGAATTGAACTGGGGGACTCTGGGCGCTCCCGGACCTCAGCCCAGGACCCGGCTGGCATCTGGAGAGAGTGGAAGGACACTTCTGAACCTGTCGACAGAATCGGTAAGGTAGGGGCCCCAGTCGGTCAGGCCCTCTCCAAGTGAGTAGAAGGGGGAGCTTGATCACCTCCCCAGAAGCCATATGGCTTCCTCGGGCAATTAATCAGGAATCAGGTGGACTGTTTAAACTCTGAGTAAATATCTGGTAGAAGTCAAAAACTCAGATTGTCTGGTGTACAAATGTGTAAGAGTCTGTGCGAAGTGAAAGCTACTTTGTGCCATCTGGCTGTACACACGAGAGTATTTGTTATCTCTTCCTGTTGTTTAATTTGTTTAAAGATAGGGCGAACCCTGCTTTAGGGGAAGCCTAATTGTGTATAGTAAGGCTGAACGCTGTGACAAACTGCAAAAGTCTCTAGCTGCTGAGAGCTATTTTTCTCAGAGTCTTTTGCTCTCCATCAAGGAGGGAGTCAGCCCGCTTAAATTTCTCTTTGTTTATGTACTAGGGCAGTGATGGCGAACCTATGACACACGTGCCAGAGGTGACACACGAACCCATTTTTTGGTTTATTTTTCTTTGTTAAATGGCATATAAATATCTAAAATAAATATCAAAAATATGTCTTTATTTTACTATGGTTGCAAATATCAAAAAATTTCTATATGTGACATGGCACCAGAGTTAAGTTAGGGTTTTTCAAAATGCTGACACGCCGAGCTCAAAAGGTTCGCCATCACTAAGAGGCTTTGGTTTGCTCTTTCCCCCCTGATCTGTGATTTTGCTGTATTAGGTTGAAATTTTGGAATTCTGGGGTTAAAGGTATAAATTTGTGAAGGGTGTAGCCCAGAGAAGATTAAACCAAGACTAGACCACTACCCTTTTCTCCCCTGCTAAGGCTTGTTAGGTTACGATTAGTACATTTTCTCATGGCCTGTTTAGGGCAAGAGAGAAAGACTGCCAGACTTTTCATAATTAACTGCTCCGGAGCGGGTGTGGGGTGGGTGGGGGCAGTGGGATTCGCTGGGTAGGGTGGTAGCTCTCAGCCTGCTGAGCTAGAGGAGCCCTGGGCTGGGGATCAGGGAGATGGTTGGAGAGATCAAGAGTAGTAAAGGAGGAGGATTTAAGA